CCTCCTTCGCTGCTAACCCCTCCTTCGCTGCTAACCCCTCCTTCGCTGCTAACCCCTCCTTCGCTGCTAACCCCTCCTTCGCTGCTAACCCCTCCATCACTGCTGACCCCTCCATCGCTGCTAGCCCATCCATCGCTTCTAACGACACAGTCGCTTCCGATCCCACCATCACTACTAACTAAACGGTCACTCCCAGCCCCACCATCACTGCTAACCGAAACGTCACCGCTGCAGTCCTCCTTTCGGTCAAACTTGCCCCTCACACCGCTACCCCCAACGAGCCCATTACCCGATATAGCACGGGCACCGTTCCTGTGAAGCCTCCTAAATCTCCCACTTCGTTTACTATTCCTCAAGCGATGGGCCCGATTATCGAGAAAAAAATGATTCAAGATTTTCTGCACCTGCTGAATAAGAATCAGCCTAGTCAAGACAAGCAGTCTGCTAAAGAAGCCAACAATCGTGAGGATAATCAGAAAGAAGTAATAGAATTTGATGTATCTGTATAGCTTCCTCGGCATGTCCATAAAGCTAAAGGTGAAATTCTTGAGGTAGAAGAGGACAATCAGGTAAAACAACAGCGTGATGTGTGTCTGCAGCGCTTTTTCTTCCATTGTGGGTTAGGAGGTAGGGGGTGGGAGAAGAAGAAGGGGGAGAAATGAACCGAAATGGGTCGCAATCGGTGGATGGGCGACAAACGCCGTGTTGACACCTCTGATTCGTCTTCTTGGACGTCCCAACTTTGCTTCTCCCCTTCTACACGTGGATAACACTATCGGGAAACACACACAAGGGCCGTTTTCCTTCTCTAACGCTTTACTAAAGTGTGCAAAAAGAAAGATAAATAAAAAAAAACTATTCACGTGTCGTTACCTCCCCTCTTCCACCGTCCTATCTCTTCCCTTATCGATGCACTTCACTGCCTATGTGTTACACCTGTGCGCACAAAATGACCCTTCTGCGCGCAGGAAAAGGTTGTGGTTGGGTGCTTCATAGGTTTAATAGTCACTCTCCGACACGTCTCACGCAGTGTCATTTTGTTTCTGTGCCAAAAGGAATTTCGATCGGACATGTTTCCTCAACTGGAGGAGTTCTTTGGGGAAAGGAATTGGCTTGCCCCTTTTTTTTTTTTTTTTTTTTTTTTTTTTGAGAC